AAGGGTCTCCTACTCTGCTCCTGTTTCCTGGAATATCTTGCAAAAAGACCTGAAGCTCTCGACCTTGACCCCTCTAAGTGGCTTTAAGAATCTGTTGAGTTCATGGCAAGAACCAATGCAAACATGTTCCTGTTTTTAGTTTTCTACACCGCTTTATAATCTAGCAGATTTTTCCTATTTTTCTTTTTGATACTTTTCCTTTTGACTGTCCTTTTGGCTGCTATTTTGTTTTGATTTGTTTAAAAAAAAGAAATTTAAATTTTGTATGCCTCTTTTGTGACTGTCTATTTTTGTCGTTGTTACTCATTGTTGTGATGCTTAATAAATGCAATTTATATGCCGAAGTGACTTATAAATGTTATTTTTCTCTTCATGATGCTTTTTTAACTTATGCGACTTATACTCTGGATCAACTTATATGCTGGAAAATACGGTAGATATGAACATATTTGGATGTCACTTAAGTCCTCTCTAAAATATTTTCTGTTTGGAAAAATACAATCTAAGCAACACAAAGCAAAGTATTCAGCACAGTTTGATGTGATGCACGAGAGTCCTATTTTGACTCTTACTGCTGTAATTCAAGGCAACACCAGACCAACATTTAGAGACACTGATGGCTCTGGCCTCACAATATTTTGTGATCTGCTTACCATAAATGCTCTTTAAAGTACTGCCATGAATAATTAGAAACCACTGGATCCATACAGAAGAGGATGTTCCCCCTGGATCTGCTGTGTTCGGATTTTACTGTTTTTAAATCCTTCTCAAATTGCTGATGTGTATCTTCAGAGTATGCATTCATCTAATTTAGAAAACCAAATACAAATCAAGTTGAAAATTATATAAAGTAATAATGGCTTATGGAAAACTCAAACTGTGCTGGTATAAACTGTGTAAAAGGGAATGTTTTGACGTAGACAGGACACAAAACTCTGTAAAACAGTCGTATTATTTTACTTCTGACTTTACTTTTCACTGCCTGCCATGAAGGGCAGACACTGTGATTGCTTGTGACTGTGTATACATTTGTTCATTTATCAATTAGCAAAACATCTAATAAACGAGAGTACAGATTTTAATGAGATTCTCAAAAATAGCCATTAGAGGTATACATCTACAACTGATTAACTTTTGGAATCAACTTGATTTAAGATGGCGCCACAACTAATCAACCTTAGCTAGCATAGAGATTACTATGACTCATTTTAACTGATATTGGACTAAAATTTGTTGGTTCTGAACGAGGTTCATCCCCACCCACCGCAAACTGAAGGCACTAGTAGATTACGTAAGATTTTTGGTTAAAACGTTGGAAAACAAGCAGAAGGCATCAAAAAATGCTAACTTTTATTTTAATGTTTTCGTGAATTCTGAAGAACCTAAATCCAATTCAATTTCAATTCAGTTTATTTATATAGCGCCAAGTCACAACAGAAGCCATCTCAGGACACTGAACAAAAAAAATTCAGATATGTAAAAAGCATGTTAATAACATTATTTATCTGAAGAACAGACTGCTGTGAGTTTAACTCCATCACAGACTCTCATCCTGAGCAAGCACGACGGCGACAGTGGAGAGGAAACTCTCCTTCATGAGGAAGAAACGTCCAGCAGACCAGGCTCAGGACAAGCGGTCATCTGTTTTGACCAGCTGGGTTTGGTAGGAACAGGAAGGAGGAACAGATACACAATGGCAGGTCAAGAATCACATGTTAAGATATAAATAGTATCAAATGAAAACTATTCAATTTTAGCAATTTGTTTAAGGAAATGAGGGAAATTTGTCCTCTAGTAGTCCAGTGTCATCTTACTGGATATCAGACTACATGACTTAACGATCAATAAGATTCTGATGGACAGCCCCACTCCAGTCAGGTAGAACAAAAAACAAACTGCTTGATATGTCAACAATGCCAATCCTATTCAAAAGGGATAAGTCCTCCTGCTGAGAAGAAAACATATTCTGTATGTCAGTTCTTTTACAGCATCAGCTCTGACAAAGTGTAGTCCAGCATCAGTCAGATCTTCTTTGTGTGTGTTTGTGGAGTCATCACAGAAAGCAGCTGAACAAAACTCAAGCTGGTCAGAGGTTGATCTTGTCAGATTTGACCCCAGCAGACTGTCAGTCTCCTTACTGCTCCGCTGCTTGTGGTTCCACCGCCACCTCCTGCCGTGACCCCTGACCCCTACCCAGGAGAAAGGCGCCACCAATGTGATGTAATTTCTCCTTGACGTGGGCCACTAGCCTTAATGTGACCATGAGAAAATAAATAGGGGGCGCTTACTTGGTGGGGATATGAGAGAGTCAAAGGTCAGAGCTGCTTAGGTTTCCTACAATTAGCTTAGCGCAAAAGCTGTTTATTACTCGGTGTACAGTAAACTCATGAACACTAAGTGTGTGATGACAAAAATTAGCCATGTTTATCAACATAACGCAGCCAAACTGAGATCCAATAAATGCAGGCTAACTTCATCTTTGAAGTCATCGTTATAGAGATGACGGATACACTTACATAATAAATCATGAATTCATTTGAATGATCCACCCTTGTAGGAAAAAATGCTTTTAAGAGGTTTTTTTTTTTCATTTGAACTAACCAAGCTTTTTCCATCCCTTTTGAATCTGCTCTCAAAGCACTCGGAGCTAGTTGTCCTGCCCAGATGTCAAGTCACATCTGGCTTCTAAGAACTAGAGAAGAACCATGCACAATGTTGTTGCTTCCACAGCTTCTCAACTGATTCTCACAGAAATATTTACACCTCTCTGTAATCTAAAGAGACCACAAAGGGATCCCAGACAGACAGAAAGACAGACAGACAGAACTCTTGTTCAAGAGGTCTAATGAGGACCTCAGTGTACCAAATACCTCTTGATTCTACCCAAGCTTACCACTTTCTCATCAATTTTGTCTCATTTCAGTACTCTAGACAGCATCCTATGTTTCTGTACTTCTTTTTGATCAAACATGACACTTTTTAAGGTCATATGTATCCCTTCAACAGCCAAACATTAACCAAGCTCATCACTAATTGTGTCTAGTTTCTTTGGACAGGTAACAGCAAGACCAGGTGCATGTGAGGAACCTACTGATTTATCATCTAAAAGCTTCCATGTTATGTCAAAATTACAGGATGTTTTAAGCCGCTAGTTTTTACATAGAAGCAAAAATCATGTCTTTCTGGAAGATTTGAATTCCTTCCAAATTCTTTCCTTGTGTTTCAGATTAGTGTTACCAGTGCAATGATGCACATCCGTCCCCAATTTTCAACTTTGCAGCTGCATCTACATCGCACTCAATCTATCCTCCAGTCAGCTTCCGTCTTTTGACTTTCTCTCTCTGGCATTTCACTTTTCTCTTCTCTGCACCCACACAATTTCCCTTTGACTCAAGGCTATCCATCCTCCTGACCTCATCATTTTTACAGTCAAGCGTAGAAGGAGCCAATTAACCATGGTGTTCATATTAAACCACGCATTATTGTAATTGAGAACAATGGTTTCCATTTCAGCGTCAGCACAGCTCTACATTGTTCTTATGCATATCTGGAAATAAAAGGGGTTAGGGCTCAGGAGTTCAATGTTGACTTGGTTTGAGCTGGGCAAATAGGCTGTTGGTCTCTTTTCTTTTAATTTTCAGTAAACCTTGTATCTCTTCTTGAATATCTGCCTTTTGAAAAAAAGTAGAAAGGCCTACTTTATTTTCTCAAACACAAACTCTTCTAAAACACGACTAAATACAGTTCAGTTTTAAAAGCAGATAAACTAAAGGTAAAACAAAAATAGCAAGGCTACATACATAACAGAACTGTCAGCACTACCGGTAAGTCCAGTCAAAGGTGTTAGAATTTAAAACTGTTTGCCTTGCAGAGCTTATTTCTAGAGTCAGTAAAGCTCCAAGGCATGCAGTGCCGTTTTGACAACATGGAGGTACTGATGAAAGTGGAGAGACTCGAAACCCGCTGTCTCTCAAATTAGCTGCAAAGCCCCCTGTGCTGTCACGTGAACTTTTACAACCCCCCTCCAACAGGTTTTGTTGCAGTGCACCATAAATGTGCCTGTGCTGAGTTTTGAATGGGAGTAGTGTGACTTTGTACAAGTAACGTTGCTGCACACGTGTTAAAAGCACAGAACATCTCCCTCTTGCTGTCAAGTCTCATTTTACAACAATCTTCCCCATTTTCATATTCTGCAGTCTCACTGTGTTAGACGACTGCAAACTGACTCTATAAATGGACAAATTCCTATATTTTATCATCATGTGAGAAATTAAAACTGGATGTACTCCCCATGCTTTGCTTTACTCATCAACTGATTAGTGTGTCTCACTTATCTTTAGGTCTCCAGTTACAGTCCAAGCATAGCAAGAAGAGAGCCAGTCGTATCAACAGAAAGGAGAACCTTCTGCTCTTTTCACCTTTGTTAATCTATTTTTCCTTCACTCTGCTTACACTAATACCCTTTCTCCAGGTTTTCCTGTAGAGTATGTTTGTTTACTAAAGTGGAAGGACATACATAACCATAAAGCTGTCTCCATGCAGGCACATATTGTTTCTTGCATATCTTAGTATCTTCTCGTACTTTCCTTCTTATTAACCTTTATTTAACCAGGCAAATCCCATTGAGATCACAGATCTCTTTTGCAAGGAGAGCCTGGACCTGAAGGCAGCCTAACAAGCATATTTTTGACTTTTGGGAGGAAACCAGAGTTCCCGGAGAAAACTCACGCAAGCATGAGAAGAACATGCTAACTCCACACACACAAAAAAAAACAGGTCCTTTCAATGATGTAATTCCAAAAATCTGTGCCTTTACTGAGGTTTTATTGTAGACCTAAAGCCTGTCTTGCTTGTCTTCACAGTTTCATTGCTAAACGAAAATGTAAAGAACCACATTCTGCACATCCTACTTCTATGTCTGGATTTCCAGTTTTCTAGATGCTCCAGCTGTGTACACACTGTGAATCAATGCCGAAAAAAAATGTTCGATATCCAATTACCTGAGAGAAGTTTAGTCCATTTAAGGGGTGACACTGCTCCTCCACCCGTTCCACTGCTCCTGTCATTTTTCCCATTCGTTCTGCCTCTTGAGCCAAAAACAAGTCCAGCACGGGCGTTCCTCTGGATCGCACGTCCCATTCCGTCAGTGAGTTGACCATCAGCATCACCCACACAGGTCTCTTCCTTTCCCAGTTCCCTGCAATAGCATTGAACAGGTAGTCAGCGTACAGGCCCCGACCTCTCTGGTCGGCGGTCATCCAGTGAGGCATCATGTGTTTGACATAGTCCAAGTGGCGTTTGAGGCGACGGTATAGGTCTTGAGGTAGCAGGGTCTGCAGGTTCTCTCCGTGGGGGAGCAGCTGACAGCTGGTCAGTTTGGAGATGGTCAGCGGGTTTGTCAGGTCTAGCTCAAAGAAGATATTCTTGCTGTTGTGAAAAGCCTGTTTGGAGCTATTAGGGATGAAATCCCAGACTCGGGTGTAGGGCACATGGATGGTACCAAACAAGTAAGCAGGTGGGTGAAGAGGTGGTCTGTTTATTCTCCACAGGAATGAGTTAAGGTCACTTTGCTGTAGGAGACAGAGATAATATTATTCAGAATCATCACTTTGGAGAGATCAGCTTGCATTAAATCAAACAGTTCATGCCTTTGTAGTGGTTTACTTTCTCACAGGTTCAAGTCAACAAGTTAAAAGTGAAATATAATTTTAAGGTGATGGCAGGGGAAATATGAAGTCTGTTCAGTACCAGTCTGTACTGCAGTTTATAGTGGAGCCTTCTGGGTTTTAAACAGACCCCGGTGTATTGTAGAGGTGCATACCTCATGTTGCCAAAGCCCCTTTCAGCTGGAAAAGCATTTTTAAGGCAGTAGTGCAAAACCTACTGCACTGGAGCTTATGAAAATCCTGAAACCTGTAAAAAAAAAACTGCTCTCCAGTCTGACCTCTCTGTGACACTTCTGTTTGGGGTGTTTTGCAGTAGTAATAAATGAAGCATTGCATTTTTCTGTGGTTTGTGCATCAGGAAGCATTTGTCGAACATAATTAAAGTCAAACAAAACAATGTTGCCGGGAAAATTTAATAATCACGGTTGTTTTTAAACGAGCGCAGGGCTCTGGTGTGTTTTAAATCTGTTTCTTGTTTAGTGCTCAGCCAGTGTGTCTGCAGAGGACATGACTTTTGACATTATCAGAATATATGAAACAGAATTTGCTTCTCTAAACAATTTCAAACTTCTGGCCACCAAGACAGTGTAATCAGGCATCTGCGAGATTAAACCTATTACAGTAATATAAAGTTATTCTTAGAAAATGTTTACTTCTACAGTTACATCAAGCATTCCTTTAGTCATAATTCACACTGCCAAAGTTGCCCTTAAGATTTCAGATTGCAGCCAAATGCGTGTAAAGTCTTCTCTTGTCTAATTAATTGCAGTGAACATCTCAGATTTTTCCTGGCACCGACTCTCCCTTGGCGAACTAAACACAAATGTTGTAGCCTATATAATTTCATAACAGTGATGCAGGGACTTTGCAGATAAGCTGAAATGTTTAAATTGCGATTTGAACATTGGCTCTGCAAACAGACAGGAGTACTGTAGTTTGTGCATTCATCTGAATTTCCTAAAAAGATTTCTGCACATGGAGCGTTTTAGTTCAGACCAAATGTGCTTTTCAGGCCTTTATAACCACGGAGGAGGACGCTTCGACATGGAAAGTGCGGTTATGATTAACTTGTGAGTCCTGACAAGAGAAAAGGAGAGAAGTCATCTCTGCTGATGCAGCGCTGACTTTTGGAGAGCCTTGACGCGTGTGGTGCACCTTTTTTATGGAGGTAATTACGCTTAATATAAAACAGAACCACTGTTCTGGCGCATACAAATCACACGAAGCCTTTACAGATTCCTGATTACAGATCCTTTCTGTTTTATCTAAAGATAAGATTGCTACATCTAACTGTTGGATCTTTGCAATCCACCTATTTCTCATGGGATCCAATGAGTCTCATGCAACGAGTTTCACCAAACAGGTGTGTTGGATGTATTATATGTACAGTATATGGTTTATTTTCCTTTAATGTCCAATATGGGTTTTATGAGGTCGCGTGCTCTGAAACATGACCATTTTCTGTGGGGTCAGTGAGACCTTTCCAAGTCAAGTCAACCGTGGGTGTTCCCTACATTGTCACATAAACAGCCATAAAGTTGGCAAACTACTCAGTTTCTCTTGGCGCACGTGCGCGCGCGCACAAAGGCCCATCTGCGCACACTGCTGATTTCTGAAGCAGCTCCAACACTCAGGTTGAAGCTATTAGGAGTGCTTTTATGTAATGTTGGTCACTCCTAGAATTTAGAAACACGCGCATCTTGTCTGGATCTGGTTTCCAACATGTGTCGGTAAAAATCACACTTTGGCACAATTGGAACATCCCATAAAATAAAGTGTTACATTTGATCCATTTTAATTCAGATCTTTTTTTGTTTTACCAGCAGAACAGCTTTGACAGCAAGTGTAAAGGATGTGAAACGGAGCCACACCGTTCTGAGCTGTGCAAGTTATTACAGGACTCACCGACTTTGGTGCGTCGCACTGCCTCCGTCTGTCCGCGCGCTCCGCACCCCAGGGTGCCACAGCCTGCAGCACCCCGCTCAGAAGCACCCAGCAGAAAGCCGGCCAAGATACCATCATGTTCGAGTTGACAGGACTTTAGGAAACTTTGACCTCTTCCTTTATCCTGTCTTCTCTCCTCGAATCTCCTTCTGAAGGGAGAGGAGCGCTACCGGTGGCCCCCGGGCTCACAGCTCAGCTGGAGGACCATCCCGCCTCTTTCCCTGACAGCACTCAGCCTCTGAGCTTGTTTTGGTTTCTGCTGGAGTTTCTCGTGTCCTGTCCTCCTCCTCCTCTCCCAGGCTCTCCTGCATGCGCACCCCTGAACTCGAGACTCTTCGGAGAGTTTGCGCTCCGCGTGTTTGCCGTATCCTGACTGCGCGAGAAGAAGGGGAGGAGGGACGGGATGGGACTTTAACCGACCCCACCACCCCCGCGCGCGCACGCACACACACAGGTTCAGCGCACACCGCAGACACTTTGAACAGGAGGCAGCTCATTGTTTTGTTCTTTCCCTTTTTGTCGTGCATTTTTTTCAGTCTAACTTTCTGCATACTTTATCCTCATAGCCAACATCAAAACATTCAGCTCATTCACAAAGTGGGTGCTATGACTTGTAGTTTTTAAAACTTTTATACTTTTCAAAATACTGATCTTTTTTTATACAGTATATCCGTGTGGAATACTTACAGATCTCTTCACATCCTCCAAAAAACATTTCACTAAAGCTTTTAGGTCAAAGTTTTCTTTATTGTCATTCTCATCATATGTAGTACATGTGGTGGAACGGAATTGTGTACACAGGGTCCCAGTTACATCCAACAAAAGTATAAATTGTAAAGAAAAGCAGCAATAAGATCTAAGATATGAACTAAGAAATACGCTTAACACTAATAATGCAAAACAATACACGGAACAACAGCAGCACGAACATGAGTCTGTGTGTACAGATGAGTGCGAATTAACACAGCAGCATGAAATAAATCAGCAGCATGAGATCAGTAGCATGGATAATCAGCAGCACATCAACAGTCAAGTGACATTACAGTGATTTATTTTTTTTAATTGATAATCCTGATTAGGGATTCATGAGTCTAACAGCTTCAGGGTAGAAGCTGTTCCTCAGTCTAGTGGTTTTATACTTACTTAATGCTCCTCAACCTCCTGCCTGAGGGGAGCAGGGCAAAAAGTTAGTGTGCTGGGTGAGTGGGGTCCTTCAGAATCAGAATAAACTTTATTATCATTGCACCGAAATACAACGAGAATATCTACATACAGTTGTCCGAAAGATGGACGTAGTGCACAAAGCTGCTGCTAATTAGTGCGGCCCTCGTATTCTTATTCAGAATAATATTTTTGCTTAGATGAGAAAAGGGAAAAAAACATGAGGAGAGACGGTATTAAAAAAAAGATCTCTTACACCTTGTCCTAGACAGGGCACGGTTTGAGACATAAAAAAAACTACCACAGCAAAGCAGCATAAATTGACATAATACATATAGGCCAGTGAAGACATTGAATTTTTAAGGGAAAGTTGTAGCATAGTCCAGAGCCACCCCGAGCCATTGTCCAGATATGAGGTGTTTGTTATCATCAGCTCGGGTGAGGTTTTGTCACATGTCCACGGCCTTGGAGAAGGGAGAGTGAGGAGACAGACAAAGCATCTTTGTTTTTTTAAAACATGCCAAGAGGAATTGAGATAAGTCCGCCGTCAAGGCTACAGTTTGGGTCAGGCAGAACTCGTAATTTGCCGTTTCTGCCTTTTAAAGTTTCGCTGGTACATTTCTCTGATTGTGACTCCAAACAGCCAAATTGATTATATGCCGAAAGTTGAGCTCACAGCTTTCTCCAAGATTATTCCCAACCATTCATGGTTGCTTCCAGAAAGTTCACAGTCCTGGTAACAGCCTTCTCCAGCTCTCTGACGCAGCTCCACATAATTCAGTCTGAGTGCTGCCAAGCTTCGACACATCCACTCAAATTTGTAGACAATCCAGATTTCACCAACCCAAACAGCAGAATGTAATTGTCATCATGAATCCAATTTGTTTAAGTAAGAGAGTCCTCCTTACCCTGACTTCCTGTTGAGAGAAGTTGATTAATTTTGTTGAGAGACCAGCTGTTCAAATCCTTCAAATTAGGATGGTATGCAGGAAAACAAAAGAGGCTCTTTGAGGGATTCACAAGATGAAAGAGAGCAAAGCAGGGAAGCTGGGGAACGGAGCAGAAGAGGGCACGTCTGTCTTCACCAGAGCAGGTGGTCCTCTTCCTGCATCTGGAGGTGTAGATGTCTGTGATGGTGGTGAGGCTGTTCCTACAGACTTCTGTGCAGCCTTCACCACTTTCTGCAGAGCTTTTCTTTCTACAGCTGTGCAGCCTCCATACCACACGTTGATGCTGGAGCACAGGATGCTCTCCACTGCACACCTGTAGAAGGAGGTAAGGACTGAGCTTCCCAGACCAGCTCTCCTCAGCCACCTGAGGAAGTCGCCTGAACTAGTGTCTTGGTAGTTTTCACCACTTTAGGATTTTGCTACATTTACTACAGTTTCAGCTTCTTTAGTGAATTTCAACAGTCACCCAGTAAGTTGTATTCACTCTGTGAATCATCTCCTTTATTAGTGTTGCTGGAAGTATTATACTGCTGTTTATTCTTTCATTGCAAGGGGAGGGTTTGGTGGTGTTCTTCTTGAATTCTCTGTTCTTGAACTGAATTCTTGAATATTGAACATGTTTAAATGCTTGTGTTCTTCTCCAATTGTGAGTCCATCCATCCATCCATTATCTTTACATGCTTCTTCTTTTTCGGGTCACGGGGGTCACTGGTGCCCATGTCCAGTTATCACTGTGCGAGAGACAGGTCTCCAGTCCATCACAGGGACACATAGAAACAATGAGACAAACAACCATTCACTCTCTCACTCACACCTAGAGACAATTTAGAGTTACCAATCAGCCTAACATGCATGTTTATGGTCTGTGGGAGGACACAGGAGAACCTGCAGAAAACCCACGCATGCACAAAGAGAACATGCAGACTCCACCAGGAAAAGTCCCCAGATGGGATTTGAACCGGCGACCTCTCGCTAAGGTTGCAACAGTTCTACCAACTGCACCACCATGCCGCTCCAAATGTGAGAATAGATGTTCAGTCCCCATTGGTTAATAGAATTGTTTTGTGTAAAACTAATTGCAATGTGGGAAACAAGAGTGCGTGTGTTCATCTTTTATGGAAAATGAGGCAGAACCAAGATGCAGAACCAACATCTGAGATGTTTGTTTTGCCTTTTTTCAATGGTCATTTTAAAGATGTAAATAAACTGTATTTTAAATGTTGTCATGTGCGTCCTCCCTGCATATTTGCATTTATTACACTTTGACAAACGTTTACATTGGGGTCTCTATATGCATGATTAATAGTCTTAAATCAGCCGGTTCAATTAAAGACAACTGAGACATACTTAATTTACGTTATGCTTTACTTAAGCTCTATTAGTCATGATGTCGAGCAGCAGAGGCGTGTGTGAAATACAGTGTTGAGTGAAAGTGACCCCCTAACTGAGCAGGCCAACGCTCCTCTACTCTGTTGTGACCTCAGCTATTGTCCAAGTGGCAGACTGTGTGACAGAGTCAAGTAGTGGAAATTTATCATGGGGGACCCCCCTCAAGCAAGTGGCACTGGGCCCCCCTCCCTGCAGGTCGGCAGCAGACAGATCTCAGACAAACGGCTCTTTGTCCTCAGCCATGTTCTCCCCTCCTCTCCACTCCTCGCTCAGGGTTCACTCCTGCTTCAGCCCTGTTAGCAGCTTCTCTCTCGCTCATTGTGTTCTTTTGGCCGCACAACTTTGATCAGTATGTCTTTGAACAAAGTTTCAAATTGTAAATCGTGACACTTACACCCTTTGGCTTTTGACTTGAACAACTTCACTGCTATTCATCCACATCTGAGGAGCATAAAAGTTATATTTTTCTCATTTTGGACACAATCTTAGATCTTTTAAACGTTTAAGCGTTTAGATTTGATCTTATCATAATATCTTTAATGCACTGTTTCTCTCATTTTGCAGTTTTCGCACTGACAAGTGTGGGATTTGAGTTATTGTGGCTACTTTGTCTGCTCTTATGTGACCCCCTGTGGTTTCACCTGTTTTAATCACACCTCGCAGAAGACTTCTCTTTGAAGGAGCCTTTCCACATTCTTGGCCGGGTAGAAGGGGGCTTATAAGTGTCCGGCTGCAGGAGATTCCTGGACTGTAGCCAGTTCTTACAGCATGGTGCATATATAGCCAGGGACGAAAGAAGACTTTAATGTTCTGTTAGTAGATTGAACAAATGCTCAGGGCACACATCTGGAGAGGAAGAATGCTTTCTCCACTCATTTTTTTTAAATGTTGAACAACGTGTGTCTTTAGTTGAATCTTCTGTTAATATGATTTCCAGCACTTTCTCTGGCTGTTGCGTTCTCTACCACCAGATAAAGAGGAAAGCACACAGGGAGGAAAGCACACACTGTACCCATCACTGCACAGTACTATGAGTTGGGGTTCGCTTTCAGCTACTACCATAGTGTGCCACAAGGTTCAGTTTTAGGTCCCACTCTTTTTACAGTTTATATAAATAATGTAGATCAAAACATTCCTGACGCATCCTTGCATCTCTTTGCTGATGACGTTCATTGTCAAGTTAACACAGTTGCCAAGGTTTTCCAGCTTCTACAGTTTGCATTTGACATCATTCATCCATCCATTCATTATCTTTTACCCGCTTCTTCCATTTTGGGTCACAGGGGTTGCCGGTGCCCATGTCCAGCAATCACTGTGCGAAGGGGCGGGGTACACCCTGGACAGGTCTCCAGTCCATCACAGGGACATATAGAGACAAACAAGACAAACAACCATTCACTCTCTCACTCACACCTAGGGACAATTTAGTGACATCATTCAGTAAAACTTATTTCTTCTCAAGCTGGTGTTAAATGCTGATAAAACCAAAGGGGTGTGGTTTTCTAGCAAAAAGTCAGTGACAGCAGTTCTTCCTCCTATCTCATCCATGCATGGTGTTCCTATTGAGTTTGTGGATTCT